GTATAATATATTTATTTTTACGCAAAGAATCAACGATATTGTCGAAATATACTAGAATTGGATAATACTCACTTCAAAAATATCAAAATGTGTAATTCCAGTGCCTGAATTATATCAGAAACAATCGTATCCGACATAGAAAACTGTAACAGTTGGTAGCTACATTGTGAAATATTCAGGTGACATAATGACACTAAAAAAATTTTAAATTATGTTCACTAAAATTTTATTAACGTAAAAATAAAGATTTTGGCAAGCAGTTATCGAAATTAATGTAAAATTTAAGCGTTTTAAAGGTAAATGTTAATACAACTATTTTATTTATACTCCCAAATTTAGGATATAAAATCCCGGTAACGCCGCTTGGAATTTTTTACATTTGAGCAATTGTCAAAAGTCTCATTTTTAATCAAAAAGTTGTTTATTGAAACTTTGTATACAGATCACAAAAATTCAAGAAGTTTTCATCAAAATTTTACATTTGTTATTAAAAATTTCAAGGTATTATTCAGATTTTCAGTTATTCAGTTTTGTAGCCCTTTAAACTTTAGTAAAAAAAAGTACAAGTTTCAAGTAGCTAAATTCAATTCAATTAATTCTTTATATGGAAGCAAATGCGACAAAAAAATTTACAAAATCTGCGGTAATTTTTAGCGACTTGAAACTTGCACTTTGCACTAAAAATTGATAGGCTGCAAAACTGTATACTCGAAAGTCTTCAGAAATTCTGAATAAAAACTTGAAAATTTTGATGAACACTTCTTTAATTTTTGTGAACTTTATATAAAGTGTGAAATTTTAATTTATATGGTATATACTATAGAAAGAACTATATTTTCATGAATAATGAAAATAATTGTGATTATATTAGAACAAGATGCACACTTTCACTTGTCGCCTAGTGTAAATCCACATATTCACGCATAGTAAAACATAGCAAAATTCCACAAATTTTCACCAAAGTATTATACGATTTATTTAGAATTGTTCTTAGGTTTTCTCAAGTAACCTGTAAGTTTAAATCTCACTTTATATTTAAAGGTTGCATTAAAATTTATGATTGTGTCTGAAGTAAAGCATTTTATTTTTGGTTTTCAATTGATTTACAACCAAGAAACAAACATACGTCAAAAACTGATTATAGAAATACTTAACTTTAGACATAGCTTTATTTCTAATCCAACCTTTAAATATAAAGTGAGCCTTAAAGTTAAAGGTTACTTCAGAAAACGGCCCTTAGAAACTTAAAACTCTATAGTCATATCACTGTTGAACGACTGAAAAATTCCCTAGCGTTAGTGTACATTAACGCAATTTTCTATGGCAGTGAGTTGATATTGACACTTTTTGGTTGGAAATTCAATCATGTTTGTATAATTTCATGCATAAACTATTCATGTCTTAATAGACCTAAAGTGAAATTTAATTTAAAATGTTAATTTAAAGTTTTTTATTCAACAATTTTTATGAGCTTGAGGCCGTTTTAAGTGAAAACTTATTGTGGAAAAGCAACAATAATTTAAAAAATGGTAGAAGTGATAGCTATTTCGGAAATCACCACATTTCCTCATCAGACTGCGCACTGTGCTAAGTTTGCCTTGCTAATTCTTGTTGCTTATTTCCACTATTTCACTTTGCTAAGCCAACTACAATCAAGCGCAGCTATTCCGCTGCAATTCACAGCTGCCTCACAGTGCGTAGGCAACTGGCTGAGTCAGTGGTGATCGTCGGTTCGAATCCTACTGAAAGAAGTCTGATGAGAAAATGTGGTGATTTCCGAAATAGCTATCACTTCTTCCATTTTTTCAAATTATTGTTTCCACAATAAGTTTGCACTTAAAACGGCCTCAAGCTCATAAATTGTTGAATATAATTGTTATAAGGCCACGAAATAACAAAAAACAAATGAAAGTTTTTTAAATACAATTTTTTTATTTTAAAGTTTCAAAGTTTAAAGTTTTGTAATTTAAAGTTAATTTATGTGTACATAAAATAACATGTAATTGATTGAATTACAAGCCAAAATGTGTAAATACCAAAATAGTGTCAATGAAAATTGCGTTGAGGTGAAGTGAAATCCTTTTAGGGCTACAGAATTTTTCGGATGTTCCACAGTTATATTCGCTACATGATTCTTTAAAAATCGACAACGTAAAAGTTTTGTAAATATTAAAAAAATACTTAATAATATAAAATCTGTTAGTTTTTAAATAAATTTAGACACACGTCGTTTTGTTGAAGCTGTAGAATAGTTTATTTTTATTTTAAACTAGTATAGAAAATTTTTGTACGTTTCCTTAAAAATAAAATAATAATGAAATCTTAGTGGACAAAGTAATTATTTACAACTTGTTGTCTTGTGGTGATACCATGGGAAGTGGTAGTTATTTCTTCATCGTAAATATCCTCCTCTTCAATAATTGAACTAGAATCACCTTCATTTTCATATATTATATTATTTAATAACATAATATTATGCAAAATCATGCAAGTATTTATAATTTTTCCAGCTAAAATGGGGTCGTACATTCGAATTCGCTCAGCTGAAAGCCGACGGAATCTGGATTTGAAAACACCAAAACATCGCTCAATGCAATTTCTGGCTTTTCGGTGTTGTCTATTATAATTCTCTTCAGGTTCAGATAAGTTATTGCCCTGAATAGGTGTCATTAAGTATGGCATTTGCGGGTATCCACTGTCACCTAAATGTGGCATAGAAAAATTTATTGCGGTGATATACATATATATGTATGTATAAACGAAATAAATTATACCTAGAAGTAGTGATGTGCTGAGTCGGTACTTTGAAGAATTGATCGATACTCTGTACCGACTTAAAAAGTATCCAATACTTTCGATACTCGCTACCGAAATATTAGAATTTCTAATAAGAGTCCGCAATACCCACAAATGTGGAATAAAAGCTGTTGAGTGATCGTTGAAGTCATTAATCTATGGTTAAAGAAGTCTATTTCTCACATTATTTGGATCTGAACGTTCTCGTTACTAGATTAATATCTGCCTCTGCGGCAACCACAATGCAAATCTTAAATAATAATATTACGAATTAACAATGTTGCCATAATAACTGTTGCAGTTGGTAAGACTGTGACAATAAGTGCAACAAGGCTCAAATACTGACATACACATTGTTCATCTTTTGAGGAAGCATCGTCTTATTTGTACCTTTTTTATTTCAGGCAATGTCAGATGTATAAAATAGCAATGAATATGACTTTTTCTTTTGCAAACTTCAAACGTATAACCTTGCGGCCAGCCAGTGTTGGCTATTTTTCTTTTGTCGATTAATTGTTTATAATTTTTTTTTTAAAGGTTAGCACATTACATAACCAGCACCACATAAATCCACATCTCAAACTTCGTACAAAATTTATTAAAATTAAACAAGCTTTAACAATTACACCTACAACATTTAAACTTTTTATGCAGTTTAATAGCACATTAAATTTTAGTTGGTTTAAGTGCAAATTTCAAGAAGCAAAAAAAATTATTGCAGTTTAATCTATTAAAATATAATGGGCTATAAAACTGTATACCTAAAATTTTTAATAAAAAGTTTAAAATTTTTAGGTATAATTGTTAAAGTTTGTTGCATTTTTTTAATTTTTGTAAAAAGTTTGAAATGTGGATTAATGTGGTGCTGGTTATGTAATGTGCCAGACTTTTATAAAAAAATGTGACTAAACTTAATCAGCTGACAAGCAGTTTATATGTAATGAGGAAGGTTTAATATATCGAATCGGTATCGGGTACCGAAAAGAAAGTATTGGGTACCGAAATTATCTTCAAGTGTTGGGTACCGACAATTCAGCACATCACTACCTAGAAGCCAAAAGTTGCGTTCCCCATTTGAGTACCTATTATCAAGAAAAACCTTTAACGCACTTGCCCTCCACACTGATGCATCGTGAGCAGTTCCACCAAAACGAGCATTACAGTCGAGTATTTTTAAATTCGCGTCGGATACCTTAAAGTACAAATGTTAAAGAATACTTTTTAAATATAACGAAATATCTGCATGTTTATAACAATATAATGACAATTAAAATTTCTCAGTCTACCATCAAGTTTAAAAGTTTTTTTCGCGAGACTTAACTCTACATATATGCAATTCAAATTGTAAAATATAAGGTTTCCGGTCACGCCTGGTATTCTTGGTTTTGGTATAACATAGAACATCCAAAGGTTAATCAAGTCAACCCAATAACTCAAAACTGATAAATTTGCACATTCATACTTCTAGCATAAGGGTGACGATATGTAGATATCCAAGCAATAAATGATTTGAAAATTTCAATAGTGCTATAGCATCTACATACGTCCGCGAGCGTACAAGTATATATACATATTAGGGATGCCAATCCCGGGTGTTTTCCAGGTCCCGGAAATCCCGGGATTTGTTTGTATTAATCCCGGGATCCCGAAAATTTTTAAATATCGGATTGAAAGTAAGAACATGTTTATTACAAAATTTGATTAAAATAAAAACTTTTTAATTTCCAAGAAACTTGTTATAATTCAGTTATATAATATGGCGTAGATTGATTTGAATTGAACACTGCATCATTTGGTAATATTTACAACTAAATCAACTGATTCAGTCGAACGGAGAAAGCTTTTTCACAAATTTTTACAAATGAGGCTAAAAAAGCATTTACTAGTGTATAAGTAAGCTGTGAGTTTAACCATATATGCACTTATATTTTTACAGTTAGTTCAAAAGTGTTAATTAATCGACTTTTGCTGTTCAGGTACAGGATCAAGAATTTGTTTTCAAGTTGATCACACATACTGCTGGTTAAAATTCATTACAATTGGCAGCTGCGACGTAGCTGCACGTAACTTGATAGTCAATTTCAGTTTCACGATGCTGTCGTCAAAGAAACAACTTAAAATTGCAACTTGAAAGAAATCTGTTGATCGTGTAAATGGCCGGTTAGTCGAATGTAAAATTTCCCCTTTTTGCCCTGCTAAAAACTATGAGTGTGCCACATTGTCAGCTGAAAATATATGCAACAGCTGGTTTTCACAGAACTGTTGCTTATTAGTATCGTAAATTCAATTAAAGATTTTGTACAAAGCTAAAATCAGAACGAATAATGAGCGAAACTGCCAGCTGCTCAAATGCTCAGTGTAAGTAAAACCCAAATTACATTTGAGTAATTAAGTTCATTGTTTTTTACAGCATTCGTTCCACACGATACAAAGGCAAACGATGCCAAGTCGGTATGGTCTCATTATTTGGTTGCTAGAGACAAAAGTGAGGTAGCCAAATGCAAAAAGTGCAACAAAATCTTACAAACGAAAGGTGGATCCACTAAGGGCTTACACACGCATTTAAAAACACACAATTCAAACATTGTGCCTAAGCGAGATGAACGTGATGAGTCGCCCGAGCATGTTCCTTGCAAGCAACAAAAGATTGCCAACTTTTTTCCAAGTAAAGCTCAAAATACTCTTGAGGCTATGTTAGCGCGAATGACTGCAGTCGACGGATTTACCTTTTCAGCATTTGTTAAGTCGGCTGACTTGCGACAATTGATGATTTCAAACGGTTTCCACGTACCTAGATCGCGGGAGACGATTCGAAGTATGGTGCTTAATTATCAGAAAGGTATTCAAAAGAACGTTATGGAAGAGATTCAAAAATTTCATAGAGACGGTGAAAGGTTCAGCTTGGTATTTGATGAGTGGACATCCATCTCAAATAAACATTATTTAAACATTAACATGTTTTCCAAATCAAAATTTTGGAACTTGGGTCTAGTTCGTTATAAATGTTCAATGACAGCTGAAGTGTGTGTCGAAAAATTGGAAGAGCGTTTACTTGATTTTCAACTAAATCTTAACAAAAATATTGTAGCTATAACAACGGATGGAGCAAGTACGATGATTAAAGTCGGAAGGCTTATAGAACCATACCAGCAGCTGTGCTTTGCGCACGGTCTCCAACTAGCAATTATCGATGTTCTGTATAAAATTGAATCAAGACCTACAACACTCAGTAAGTATTTTGTATTGGTATTATTTAATCGTTTTTAAATATTTTTCATTTAATTTCAGACGAAGCTGATTGCGATTATAGTGACGACGATTTCGAGGATTTAGACGAAGATGATGGTCTTATTATTTATAATGGTAGTGAGCCTGTTAAATACACTGAAAAGAATGATTTAAATTTAATAATTACAAAAGTTTGCAAAATTGTGCGTATATTTAGAAAATCGCCCACGAAAAACGATGCGTTGCAGAAATATGTCAAAACTGAGCACAACAAAGAGATGAAGCTTATTTTAGATTGTAAAACAAGATGGAGTAGTCTTTTAGAAATGTTGCAGCGTTTTGTTTTACTTGAAACAAGTATTAGGAAAGCAACAATTGATCTCAAAATTACGTATTTACAAAGTTCCGAAATGAAAATTATTAAGGAAGTTGTCAGCTTACTTCAGACAATAAAAGTAACTATTGAAGCTTTATGCTCGAGAGAGATGAATTTACATAAATGCGATGTAGCGTTACACTTAATGCTAGAAGAAATAAAACAAAATAAATTTTCTTTAAGTAGGATTTTGGTATCGAAAATTATTGAAAGAATTAAGCAGCGTCGAACGATTATGTCAGACGTTTTCTCCTTTCTAACGAATCCTAATAACATATATGAAGTATGATTTTTGTAAAATGCCGCCTTTGAGTATAATTAAAAAAGGAGCTTCTGACTATACTTATAAAATTACAGTCTGAGCCTGTTTTTGAAGAAGATTTAAATGAATGTACTCATAGCGTCAATAATGTAAACGAAAGTTTTAAAGAAAAGTTACATAATTTATTAAGTCAATCTACTCAAACTTCCACAAATCGAAAAAATAATAATTTATCCGGCGTGCTGGTAAAAGAACTAGAAAAATTTTGTAATGGAGGAGATAGGGGTCATTATCTTCAAATGGCTTATGACTTCCTTTTGACAGTTCAACCGACAAGTGTTGAGGCAGAAAGATGCTTTTCATCAGCAGGTTTTGTATGTAATAAGTTTAGGTCCAGATTAGAAGACTCCACCTTGAATGCTTTGCTGTTCTTGCGTACTTATTTTAAAGGCAATAATAGTAATTAATCTTTTTTAATATGACTTTAGTCATATAATATTTCTTATGTTTGTTTATGAAGTAGAATTAAAATGTTTAGAGGTTTTGTTTTTGTATTTTTTTGTTTATATTTTTTAATAACTGAAAATGTTTAGAATTTTTGTTTTTGTATTTTTTTTTTGTTTAATGTTGTTATATTAACGGTTACTTTCAAAAGTACCTGGTATTTATATTCTTATTTGTGATGTATGCGTTCCTAAATCACATGTTTTTTAATTCAATTTAAAAATTTATTACTTTAATATTTGTCTGTATTAATAAATATGTGATTTTAAAATCAGTTTATCGTAAATTTTAAATGGTTTTATTTCATGTTTAAATGCTTTCTGTTGTTGAATTTTTACTCATATTCATAAAAGTTATGTCTCAATGTAAATCCCGGGATAAATCCCGGGATCCCGGGATTACTCAAAAAATATCCCGAAATCCCGGGATCACAATTTTCCGTTAATATTGGCATCCCTAATACATATATATGTATGCAGGTTTATTGAACGCACAACTTGCACATTTATTGAATGCCCTCCTTTTCTGCATACATAAACATGTTCGATGTCCTCCGATGGTGCCTTTATTTTTATGTGTGTGCCGTCAATCGCTCCTAATACTCCTGGGAATCTGAATTTTTCATAAAATCTATGGAAACAAAACATAAGTACATGCATACACACATTCATACGTACATATGCCCTAAATAGTATTCCTCTTTTAACTCACTTTTCTTTAAAAGCTGCTTTTCTTCAATTGTCGATGGGAACTTTATATATTGGGTTAATAAATGTCTGTCCATTATGCTTGCAATTTCCCTGATGCACCTGTTAACGCTGCTTTGGGACACATTGAGCAAGAATTCTTGGCCAACTGAACGTTGATAGCTTCCTAGAAATATTAAATAATTTCGGCGTAAACAATTCTTTTATGCGGAAGAGGAATAATGTGCATATGCATACTTAAATAACTTCATAGTATGTATACACACCTTGGGCAAAAAATCGCAATGCTACAAGGAATCTTAACATTCCTGAAAGCCCTCTTGATGCATTTTGCCGCATATAAGGGCAAATTTCTGCGTAAACGCTTCGACATATTACTTTTGGTAGTCGAAAGATATCAATAAACCGCTCCTCAGAAATATTGAACGGATCCGTGCTTTCCCGCAACGATTTTCGTTTGGTTCGCAAACTGTTTCTCAAATTTCTTAGGGAATACACTGCCACACGATGCAAGTACCTTTGCAATGCACTCATTTTTTTCTAAACAACATTTACAAATGTATTAAAACTTGTTTATATGGGCATGTTTTTTTAGAAGGCAGTGACAGTAATGTCTGCCTGAAATAGTGCTTTTCGAAGTACTAATACTCACGTTCTAGCAAAATTACTTCACAGCTATTCAGCCTTATCATAGAATCCTTCGTAGGCTGTATTTTCGGAGATGTTCCGATATAGCTGTCACGCAATTCGAATTGCTATGATGTAAATTCGAAATTCGTAGGGTTGCATTCACAGAATCCACTCGAAACGTCAAATCGTAGAGTTTCGTACAATTTTTCTTCGACGAGTTGTTGCTGTCGGAGAAGAAGCGAAAGGCGCGCAAAATTCTATTATTAAAAGGAAAATAATTTTAAAATTACTAAAAAATGTAAACTTTAAATTAATAAAATTAAAAATTGAATTAAATTGTGTGGAAATATGTTTTTATTTGTTTTTATAAGGTCCAAAGTGTTAACAACCAGGCAGCAATACGCAGCTTTGCTTGAGCAAATGCAGCAGAGACCTGAAATTGCGCAAGGATTTTCAGAGATTTCGAAGGAAGAAGTTATGGAATTTTTGGAGAATGTGGCTAAGGAGCTAAATAGTCTCGGTCCGCCAACTAAAGATGTATCGAGTTGGAAAAAAGTTAAAAAAAGCATGCATTGTTTGCTAACTAAATATACTTTTCTTCAGGTATGGTTAGACTGGAAGGCATATATTAAAAGAAAACTTGCGGACAACAAAAGAGAACAGTTGGCAACTGGTGGTGGTCGAAACAGGCAACATAGTTTTAATGAAATTGAAGAAGAGGTAATCCGGCTCGCTGCTTTAAAGACGAGCACGCATGGCATAAAAAACACGGTGAGCGTTGGAGAAAATGCTGAAGCTGTTGCTGACGTGTCAATGGCCTCAGCTCCCTCTCCCTCACTTCCAAGGCGTGCTCCTGCGGCACAGAAACGTCGAGATACCTCTGCAGCAGATTTGCTAAAAGAGCAGTTGGTCCTGCAGAAAGACTTTTACGAAAAGAGCCTCCAACATTTAGCCCAGCAGGACACAAAGCTGGATGAGCTTTGCTCTGATGTTCGACGGTTGGGTAGAGCCACAGAAAGGCTTTACGAACTGAAAAAAGAAGAGCTCAAAGAAATTCGCAGGCATACCAGAGCCATGGAAAATTTAACCGCGGCAAGAAACCAAATAAAGCAACAAATGTTAAATATAGAAGAAAAAAAATTAGAAGCATTTTCCAAAAATAAACAATAGCAACATTTTATTTAAATTAATTTTTTACATTCTTTTATTTCATGTTTAATATTAGTTAAAACCAGTCTTATCTTCATATACTTATTAGTGTTCTCGTTATAGATTGTCTAATCTCTGAACCTGCATCATTAAAAGTGGATGATGAAGGCTCACTATTTTCGTTCTCATAATATAGTTCCAGGATTTCTGAAACATCATCAAACACGCGATAATGAATACAAATGTTGTGCAACGCTGCTGCGACATTTGCGATTTGACATACCTTCGAAGGTTCGTAATGAAGTTCACGAGCGCCTAGAAGACATCTGAATCTATTTTTTAAAAGACCAATTGTTCTTTCTATAATATTTCTAGCTTTGGCGTATATCCTGTTGTAATGGCTTTCGGAGCTACCAGGCGGAGGTGAACGGAAAGGTGTCATCAACCATGGTTCCAAAGAGTATCCAGCATCCCCTGAACGTGGAAAAACAATTTTTATAAATTTTCACTTAAATTTAATTAATTCTGTTTACCTATCCAAAATCCAGGTGTTACGTTCACCATTTAAGTAGTTCCTCTCAAAGAAACATCTCGCATTGCTGACGTTCATTATATGGGAATCATGATTGCTTCCTGGGTACTGCGCATTCACACAGCGGATTTTCATTTTGTTATCGCAAGTCTGCAAATAATTTAATTAAACCTTGATGCATAACTTGTCTATCACACTTACTATCATAGCAGTGATGCTGTAGTAGCCTTTTCGGTTATAATAGAGGAATTTGTCTTCAGTGGGAGAAATTATTTTAATATGAGTCCCGCCCACACACAAAACTACTCCAGGAAACCCTGTTTTTTTGGTAAAAGTCCATCTTTGCTTGCCGTTTTTCGTCATCACTTAAGTTAAGGTTTATCCAATGTGGGAAAATATGAGTTTGTAACAACGCCAAAACGTCTTTTAAAATGCAGCAAAATGTGGACTGAGCCATCGTTATGTCATAATCCTTGCCCACTCCAGAAGATAGCCGATGAACTAGGGCTATGGATGACGAGCACGAAGGAGCTGCTTTCTCTTACAAAACACTTAGGACGTACGTAAATGGGGCTTTGTTTAAGCGAACATTTTTTATGAACCTGCTTAAAGTGCAGTTAGAAATAAAGTAATCATAAACACACTACACTTACATTACTTCTTGCATTTCGAGAGGATTACTTGCGTCCCTCAAAGTTTTTCTGTGAATTTTAATAGCGGACCCGCTTAATTCACTTTCCACTAACATCAGCATGATTGCACTCGCCAGTGAATCCATTTTTTTTACAACGCTTTTATCAACTTGCAATGTTGTGTTCCAGAAACTTTCAATGTTGTGGATCCAGAAACTTTCAATGTTGTGTTCCGACACCAAAGCAAAGCTTTGAAAAGCTCCTATAAAAAAGCATAGTGAATAGGGCGAGGTAGATGACATCTAGATGTCGCCCTATGTACTACGTTTGCTACACCGGAAATAGACGACACGCCATTTCTTTAAATAAAATTAGTTTGACTATTGTCAACTAAATCGAATGCTTTGTAAGTGAAGTGACTTGTGGACCACTTGAGGTATAGGTGGACCAGTTGGTAACCACTTTGGGTCCAGTTGGTAACTAGTTCGTGGGACCAGTTGGTCACCAGTCGGGGACCAGTCCGGGAACAAGTTGGGAACCAGTTTGGGACTAGTCCGAAACTACTTACCTTCGGACCAGTTGGTCTTTTTAAGCTCCTGTGGCCGTTTTAAGGGTAATTCTTGGGCTCCTGCACTGCCGCTCGGGGTTTCTGCCTTCTACGGTGGTAATTTTGGGCCGGGTTGCCTGTTTTGGCGGATTGTTGTGCTGTGTGCCGCGTATTACGTGTACCGGGTACCACTTTCTCGAGCGAATTGCTCTGGGGAACCTGTTGTGTGAGTTGCTGGCTTTTTGGCTAGACTTTGAGGAGGGTTTATACACGCATATCGGCGGAAATAGACGACACGCCATTTCTTTAAATAAAATTAATTGGTGCTCGTTTGTATGTACATACATATGTAAATGCATGTGTGTGCACCTTTCTATTAATATCGTTGAATTATTTTGATATCTATTGCAAAATTTTATTCAGACAGGACTAAAAAGTAGAAAATAAATAATATAAAAAAAACTTTTTAATATACAACGCTTTTATAAATGGACTAAAAAGTAGAAAATAATATTTCTCAGTCCCATAGAATTTGTTTTGATAACTTTTGATTTTGAAATTTTAGCAAAAGTCATTATAAACAATCTATGAAATTGAAAATGAAAAGCGTGGGGCGCATGTAATACACTTGAATTGATATGAAAAGTAATATATGTATGTATGTATGTGGGTATATGAATAACGACCGCTTAAAATCGATTTCAAAGTTCTACTTTCGCTGTAGAAATTTTAGGTCTACGTTATGTAGTTTGACTATTGTCAATTAAATCGAATGCTTTGTATTGCATGCGCTCCACGTTTTTCATTTTCAATTTCATAGATTGTTTATAATGACTTTTGCTAAAATTTCAAAATCAAAAGTTATCAAAACAAATTCTATGGGACTGAGAAGTATTATTTTCTACTTTTTAGTCCATTTATAAAATCATTGTATATTAAAAAGTTTTTTTTATATTATTTATTTATTGATAATTTTATAAAAATGTGTAAAATCAAAAATATTACACGACTAAATTTATTTGTTTACTTTCAGCCAGCTCATTGCGAAACTTCGTACTTCGAAATTTTAATTTGGCAGCACTGTTTTCGAGTTCACTCGGATTCAGTGATAGCAATTTTTTCGTATTCGTAGCAGACATCCGAATTCGTAAATTCTCTACGATGGATTCTATGATAGGGCTGATTAGCTTCACACGATGAACTTTATACTGCTTAATTTTGATTTAAGTTCTAAAGGTATTATATTATCTCTTGCTTATGTAAAATGCACAATGCATTCACCACAAATCAAAACAAAACTTGACATTTTTCACAAGCTACAAGAGCGACGCCCCTGGCGGGTAAATGTGTTACAAAATCTCTTGGAGATTTTTGGCAACTCGAAACACAGAATCACATTTTAGCGGAATCGCCTAACTTTCGGATAATTTTTTGGCTTTAGCATTTTGGAGATTTTTAGAGTTTTGGGGATAGCGATTTCCAGAATCCGCCTACAGGTGAATATATGTATATATTTAACATTTCATACTTTAAGAACCTTATGGAAATCCGTAACACTGTCTAATACTGCGCTGAAAAAATCATCTATACATAGTAAAAACGAGAGTTGAGATTCTTTGTACGCGGTAATCTCGAAAACTACTAAACGGATTTTGACGAGATTTTCTCTAATATACTCTGTCTCAACAGGAGAGTGACCTTTTTACTTAGAATTTTAATAGGGTTGCCACCTGTCTAGAAAACTATAAGATCTGTTCGTTGGATTACAAAAGATGTGTTATCAAATGAAAGGCATTGTCCTCTAGAAAACCACTAATGTTTTTTTTTTAATAGGATTGCCACCTGTTAATAAAATTCCTATCTTCAATCATAATAAGCGTAGGCATCAGTTCTGCACCGTCACTGTCAAACGAAAAGAGTTAGCCTCTACATGAGCAATAATGTATTATTTTTCTGAGTAGGGTTGCCACCTATTAAAAAGTTAAACGATTTTCGCCATTCGTTGGATTACATAATGAGATACCAAATGAAAGGGCCTGGCCTTCGCATGTACAAAAGCTTTAAGTTTTTAATAGGGTTGCCACCTATTTAAAAATTACTATCTTCTATACATACATAGTATAAAAGACGAGATATTTTGACCACGCTAATCTCAAAAGCTACTGAAGGGATTTATACGAGATATGTTTTTGTATAACCTGTATCAATAGGAATATTATCTTTAGTACTTTAAATTCCTATAGGGTTGCCACCTGTTTAAAACTTATTAGATCCGCACTGTACGTTGGATTATAAGAAATGAGGTGTCAAATAAAAGAGTTCGGCTTTTATATGTCCAATAATGTATTGCTTTTTGAGTA